GTTTTTTTTCCATATGTTTGACTGACTGTATTTTATTATGATAATGAACAGGCAGCATTGTCAAGGTAGCAATGCTTAAATGTGGCGCCGGTGCAATCACTTGAATTTTTTTCCTTCTAACAGTGGAAGAAACTACTCCTTTTAGTCAAAGATAATCGGAATTGTAAAAGGTTTGCCTTTATTTGTGTACATTCACAACAAAAACAAATATTTGTGCTTTTGTAAAATAAGCCTAAAGAAAAATAGGATGCTGCTTTCTGCCGTCTGTTTCCTTTCGCGCAGCACAAAAATGAACCGAAACTCTGCATAATACTTGTTGCACAGTTTTTCTTTCATTTTCTTCATTTAAGTAAAAATATGTTTCTCGTATAGGCCTATTTTGTTATATACATATATATATATATATATAGGCTAGCTTTATTATGATTTTCTCCACTCGCAGAAGCGCTGCAGGTGCGTGATGTAATATGAAGACCATGTGAATCCTCATGTTCTGTTGTTTGCTGCTTTTTGCGCATGTAAATTAATCCCCGGGAAACAAATGTTAGTATTTTTAACGGGTCACAGACACACTTATCCTTTCTAATTTAACTCTATTCTAATTTAAAATAATCATGTCGGTTAATGAGCGTCGGTTGTCGGTTAGGAAAAATAACCGAAAAGAACATCCCTAACAACAACAACAACAAAAAAAAACAGGATCATGTGAAAATTCAGCTTTGCATCACAGGAATTAATGACATTTTACAATATATTCAAATAGAAGTTGCAATAATATTTCACAATATTACGGTTTTACTGTATTTTTAATCAAGTAAATGTAGCCTTGATGAGCATTAGCAAACAAAAGCCTTATACAAATAAAAAACTTGACCCAAACTTTTGAACGAGAGAAAAAAAATCTAGTTCTAACCGATTATTTTTTTCTGAAATTTTAATTATTTTTATTATCTGTTAAATGCATAAATGTGAATTATAAATATTCTTTATATTTTAAAATGTAATAAGTCACCACTGCGAACACAACCGAGTAACAGAGAACAAGCAGCTTGGTTTCTAATTTGATCCACTGGCTCTCTCATGAAGTCATTTACAGGAGACACACAAACACTGTAGTGTTTCCCTGAGACCAAGACTCTGGGTCTGAGGAAATGGTGTAGGAAACCAAGCTACAAAAGTGGGAAGTTCAGTCTTAGAATATAAGGAAATTATAGGAGCGTACAGTACAGGCAGCTGACTTAAACTACTTCCTCATACCTAAAAAACAACAGAACAATGTGAGACTGTGAAATAAGACCAGCCAACACCTGTGGCATAAAAGCTTCCCTCCTAATCATTGGTAATGACAAAAGACTATTAGAAAGCAAGCTAAAGAAATGAAAAGCTGTGGGAAAAACGCACATGCAACTATGTGAAAGAGACTAAAATACAATTTTCATTGACTAAAACTAGACTAAATGTCATCAGTTTTCGTAGACTAAAACTAGACTAAAATGCTCAGACTTTTAGTTGACTAAAACTTGACTAGACTAAAAAGAGTATGAATGTGACTAAAACTAATAAAAACTAAAATGACAGTTTCACACAAAGTTTCACACTAGACTAAAACTAAAATTAAAACAGGCCGCCAAAAACAACACTAGTGACAATTATGAGTCTGCGGAGAGAGTGCTGAACAGACAGAGTGTGGAATACATGTTTAAGTTGCTTAAAATTCAGAGCAGTAATTTAACTAACTATTGCAATTCACAGTATTTGCAAGGACAGTCCTGCTGAAGTGACCTAGCATACTGTGCCCTGCTCAAAGGCACAATGGTGGCGGAGCAGGATAGGGATCGCTGGAACTCCAGGGACAACATTACTTGGAAATGAACCAGCAACCTTTGTGCTTACTAATCAGATACTTAAACATTATGCCATTACCACAAATAGCCTGGGATAGCTGGACCTGGATCCTTTAAAATGTGCATAAACTGTGCAATTCAAAGCCCTCTTTTCCACGAAGAGGATTATGTAATGAATACTAAGTAAAGTGATAATACTTTGAACTAATAAACATTACTAATGATCTTTCAAACACTGCATAATACAGGTAAAACCTTACAATATGATTACATTTGTTAAACGTAGTTAATGCATTTTTGATTTTTTTTTTTTTTTTTACAGAATAATGTAAATGTACATAATTATTCATTGTTTATGTTCGTCCATAATTCATTATGCTTTAAGCAACTTTAAATGTTAAAAATGTTTAAAATGCTAAAAAAGTTTAATAAATACTGTAAAACTATTGTTTATTGTTCACAATATTTAATGCATTAACATTGGCATATTGTATAATTTTGTTATTTAAAGTGTTACTAATGTATTTTTAAATTGTTACAAATTACACTTTGACTTAATGTAGAATATATTCATATTTAAAGGGGTAGTTGATAAGCTTTTTTCGAAGGCTTGATTGTGTTTATGGGCTGCAGTGTAACGTGTCATGCTTGTTTTGTTTTTGTAATGCATTATTTTCACATATTTTACCTTTATTCTACATCTCTGTTTCCGTTCTGGTCAAAACGGCCGGTTGAGTTCCTGGTTCTCTGAAGCCCCTCCCTCAGAAATACGTAATCAGGCTCAGATTGGTTAGCTGGCTCAGTGTGTTGTGATTCGCTAACCGCCTAGTGCACTTTGTCCGGAAATATCACGCCCCCTTTACCATTACGGGTAGATGCATGTTCCCAGGGGCAAGATTTATGTAAACATCAGGGTTAGTGATGTCACAAACACCGGAAGAAGCTCGTTGTAGTCCCTACCAGTCTTTTTTGTAGTCCTTAAACAGCGATTTCTTTAGAAGAAAATTTCACTTTGCATTGAACTTTGAGCGTTGTAACTTTACAGAAGTTTATGCTCTGACAGCAACATTACACACTAACTAACGGTAAAAAAGTGAAATCAATCAACCACCCCTTTAAATGTAAATTAATCACAGATGTGCCCCCCAATATATACGCAATTATAATGTATACTACATATAATACAATTTCAAGTCAAGTTTCACTCGACAAACTAAACCCTAAACTGTGTTTGTACAGTAGATGACTGGAAACAATAACTATGTCAAAACTAAGCTAAACTGTGTACAAAGACAAATATTTTTAAACACGTTGCATTTTCCAAGTGCCTTTATAATGTGACACTGCTAAGTAAACAAACAGCAGCTGCCAGACAAAACACTGCGTTTATTGTGTCTCAACGTCATTGTTTCACTTGTTGAGCTTCCACAGACACAAGCGACAGACGACACCTTGACCAGTGCGACATACGCAAAGGAGATTCCCTGCAGGCTAAAAAGAGACACACCTCGAAAACCTTTGGCCTAGAAAGCCCAGAACATGCGGTTATATTTTTGCTGGCTCAAAAACATCTGACACGTCGCAGCCAATCGAGCAGAACAGCGTGCGGTTCTGGATCTCTCTGTTTTCCAAGAGATGAACCGGCACTCGGCCTGCAAGATGCTGAGGTCTCAGAATGTGCTTTACGCAACACCCACCGTCTGGAAGAGTTCGAGAGGTTTCTGTGAGACAGCTGCCCGGGGCTCAGACGGATCGCAGCAGATCTCTGCAGTTGTTATGGAGCCGCTGAATGACCCTGGAGTACTTACGGATCAAATGTCACTCGGATCACGGGAGGCTTTCAGGAAAAGGCCTGAATGGCTCAGAGCGTAACAGGTAACAGAAGCCACGTTCAAAGCCTTGGCTTCAACTCAGCAGGGACCGAATAGTTGGAGCACAATTACACAAAGCTTTTAGAGCAGAGCAACAATGCAAACCGCAGGACATGAGCTCTGATGGTTCAAAAGTGATGCTAGAACTGTAAAGGTCTTACCGTGTCTCCAAGGGTCCTTCGGCTCAACCGCACCCGAGACGATGTCTTCGTCCGACGGAAAGGTCACCCTTTTGGCCCCGTGCTTACTCCCAGCTCCATTGCCTGGTGTTGTAGCCGCTGACGTGGTTTCTGAGGGCACATCCTCACTACGTTCTTCCGGAGGTTGCTGTGAATGCAGTTCTATGACAGTTTCTGATGTTAGCGAGTTCTCACAACTGGAGGCACTTTCCTCACTTTGAGTCTGGGCCGTTGGCTCGAATTCCAAAACGCCATTTTCATCCAGACTTAAATCCACACCGATATCCATCTCACCATCATCATCACCCCCATCTCCAACAGAGCACTTGCTCACTGGTGGTTCCTCAAACTTGCTTATGTTCTGTTGCAGATCGCCTGCAGAACCATTAACAGGGTCAGCTGACACAGCAATGGAGCCGTTGTTTTTACTATGCGGTGCTTTGAGCTCAGAGGAACCATCGTCCTTCGAATGGACGTCTTTTAACCTGGTCAGGACAGCAGTGTCCCGTTCCCCCAGATCTCCATCCGTCGGCAGGAGGTCGTCACGGGGAAGGATCTCGTCCGAGGTGTGTGATATAGTGTTGTCAGACACATTGCACAAATCTATAGCATTGCACAAATCTACAGCTTGTTCCTCGCAATTCATCTTCTCATTTCCAGGGAGCTGGAGCACACGCCACTGCCTGTCACACACTAAAATCCAACAGAAGTTCCCTCAATCACCTACAATGCAGTTCAATCCTCGCAAACCCAGGGAGAAACAGTTCAATATCTCCTTAATAAGTGCATCGCATACTAAAAGTTCACATCATAGCTTTAAATGGTGGCCCTTACCTTATTTATGCACCTCAATTCATTCATACGACCGCTGTAGTATTGACTTAAAGGACTGCATAAGGCATTTAACTCTAGCCTATGTCTTAAGTATTTTCTTTAGCAATCCTGTGTTCCTAACACCTACAACATCTTTCAAAGTCAATCTGTATCAGTTGTATCCACATTAAAAGAGATTATCTCACATCATGTTGACAACAGTGTGTTCCTAACTTCTTAACGTACACCCTTAATACTGTTACTTTCCTCTCATCGTGTTCAAGAATAAGTTAAGCACCGACAGATGTATTTGAATCTGAAACATTAGACTATAAACACCAGGCGTGGGATGATGAAGATTATGATGATGATTAGGCTTTCTCCACCGGCCTGCTCTCCTACAGCAAGACGGCTAAAGTACTAAAACTGACTCTTTAAGCCAATGAAGTAAAGTGCAACAGCATGTTTAAGGCTCCAGTCGTGTTTTAAGCTGTCAAGACGAGGAATCCTGCTCTGTCACTTTCCGTGTCGCAGTGAACACAAATAAAAACAGGCGTCACGCTCTCATCCACAAAAACCGCCACAAACGGCCTCGTTTGCTCCGTGTAGACACTCAATTCCGGGCGCCTCGTGTGAACGATGTTAAACAGATCGCCAAAACGCACAGACAGCAGGAAAAAGAGAAAATATTGTCCCCGGTGTAGCTCCGGTCCGGCCCGGACCGACCGTGTGTGTGTGTGTGTCTGTTGACTGTTCACAGGTACGTCATCAGCGCGGGATGGGAACGCGATGAGATTTCAGCTGCCGCACTTTCACGACTTCAACTCGACCGTTTGTTTATGAGGACGTGTGCGCAATAAAATCGCAATAAAAATAAAAGTTGTGTTTCTTTGGCAGATGTTCATTTGAATCAATTGCCTTTGTGATTGATCTATATTGGCATTTATCGTAAATCACTATAAAAAAAATAAATAAATAAACGAGTTTACATTTGAACTTTGCCAAACAGCTGTCACGTTGGATGGTTTATGACCATAGACTGCAAAAAAAAAAACAGGTTTAAGACGCGTGTTATTGAGAACAAAAAAATATATGGATATATGTAAATGTAAAGAAATATATTGCACGCTTATTTAGTCTATTGGGTAAACAACATACACTTAGAAAAACTGACACTATGAAAAACAAATATCTCACATTTTTAGAAATGACGTCAAATTATATATTAGACTTGCAGAAAAAGAAGAAAAACCTAACCACAAAAAGCACAGGAAGCGACTTATTTAAAATGATTTTCTGATGTTATTGATGTCAATAATGGGACTGAGTTCTTATTTATTATTATTTGTTTAAAACGGTATTTGTGGTAGAGTGTTTTATGAATTATTTGCAGTAATGGCATGGCTTCCTGAAATCACTATTAAGTCAAAGATACTAGTTTATACAGTGTGTTAAGTTTGACCTTGTCAGTATTCACTTTTAGCAAAGATGTATTGCCTATACCTTTACTTATTGGAAATCAGACAATACTTATGACTCATTCTGCTCTGTACAGATTTTTGTCCAATCACATGCTCTTTGGAATAAGTTTGCCCCTCCCCTAATACCACCTGCAACCATAGCAAGTAGCAATACTAGAAAATAATGTCTGCATCTGAAAGGCGTAAAAAGTTTGCTTCACAAACATGTGGATGTAGGGAGGCCCCTGGGATCAGCTCTCTGTCTTTATTAATCTGGCAGCATGCTGTGAGAAGGCCACCTAGCTTTTAGGTAAGTGCTGACAAACTTTTACAAGTGCACTACATTTGCATGGACTTCCCTGCTGCATGTTGTTTCATGATGTTATGATGATGGAGAAAATTTATGAATTAAATGTTTACATTTTTCAGTCTCATGTGTAGCACACGTTATACGTTGCCTGAACTGGGTGAAATTTAATTCGCTGTGTTTGTGGTTTTGCTTAAAATAGTGTGTGAAGTTTGAAATACACAATACATGGATGTTCAAATACCTTAATATTATAAGACTACAATGGTATTATCATGACGCAACATGTCCAAACTTTCTTGTTGACTATAGTGTGCTCCTCACCTTGCATCTTTTTAGTATTTCAGTTGTTTATAAATCCTTATGAAATAGTTTTATAAATCTATAATACGGTGGCCGAGAAGTGCAAAGCAAATCACAATTCTGAAAACAAAATAACGTATTGTATGAATTGCCTCTACTCTGGAATAAAAAATACGGGGTGTCTATTTACATTTAGTTAAAAGGGGCAGTAACACATCAGCACCAGTGGTGCAGATGGATAAGCGTGTGTTGTTGGCTTTTTTTGACGCGATCGACCCGGGTTCGATCCCGCCTTTTGCCGAACTTTTTTTTCTCCCTTTTCAAATCTCGTATCGCATCGTAAAGGCATTTATTTTCAATAAAAATTAAGGAAATAATCAAAAAGTTGAAAATAAAGTATCGGGTAGGGTTAGGGTAGGTGTAGGGAGGGCTTTATTGTACCAATAAAGTGGCATCCATTAAATAATTAAAATTAAAATTATAATTTACACTCAACACGTTATTATTGCATTCTGTTTTATAATGTACTACAATACTGAAGTGCAGATAATTGCCACTATTTGCAACAAGTAGTATACTTGATAGTAGAAATCCTGCTATTTTAACATAGTGTAAATAGGTATTTGCACTTAGTGTAAATAGCATATTGCTAAAAATACTGCTATTTTCACTTAGTGTAAATAGAATCCATTGCTAATACGAGATTTGAAAAGGGAGGAAAAAAAAGTTCGGCAAAAGGCGGGATCGAACCCAGGTCGTGACTTGTTATTTTGTTTTCGGATTTGTCGTTGTGTTTTCTGATTTGTTAATTTGTTTTCGGATTTGTCTTTGTGTTTTCTGACTTGTTATTTTGTTTTCGAATTTGTCATTGTGTTTTCTGACATGTTATAATGTTTTCTGAATTGTTGTTGTGCTTTCTGAATTGTTATTTTGTTTTTTAGACTTGCATTTGCGTTTGTAATTTGTTATTTTGTTTTCAGAATTGTGATTTGCTTTGCACTTCTCAGCCACCGTACTATAATCTCTTCATCTGAAAAAAAAAAAAATTCTGTTTTTTTTTACTGTCCAGTGACCTGAACACAAATTTGTGTTCACTGTAATTACACACTCAGTTCATCCATCTCACCACTAGAGGTCAGAGACACCTTAATTCTAATCTGATTTCTAATCTAATACTGATCTCAACATGCCCATAAAAATAACAATACTGATGCCAAATAAACAGTATACCAAAGTAGAATATACTGTATATGAATGCTCTGCTGTACCTGTTTAGTACTTTACCTCTATAATTCTCACAGCAGACAGAATGAGGGATATCTTTCTATCTATCTATCTATCTATCTATCACACAAACACACAATAAGTTTGCCCCTCCCCTAATACCACCTGCAACCATAGCAAGTAGCAATACTAGAAAATAATGTCTGCATCTGAAAGGCGTAAAAAGTTTGCTTCACAAACATGTGGATGTAGGGAGGCCCCTGGGATCAGCTCTCTGTCTTTATTAATCTGGCAGCATGCTGTGAGAAGGCCACCTAGCTTTTAGGTAAGTGCTGACAAACTTTTACAAGTGCACTACATTTGCATGGACTTCCCTGCTGCATGTTGTTTCATGATGTTATGATGATGGAGAAAATTTATGAATTAAATGTTTACATTTTTCAGTCTCATGTGTAGCACACGTTATACGTTGCCTGAACTGGGTGAAATTTAATTCGCTGTGTTTGTGGTTTTGCTTAAAATACTGTGTGAAGTTTGAAATACACAATACATGGATGTTCAAATACCTTAATATTATAAGACTACAATGGTATTATCTATCTATCTATCTATCTATCTATCACACAAACACACATATGGAAGTAAGTGTGAATATATATATGTTAATTTGATTAGATTTAATCCAGCTGCACAAATCAAATAATCACAAATGGCGGTTTCTTGAATTCTTGAGTCCCGCCTCCCTCATGCCAGACTAATATTTTATACCATAGTGGCCCTTTGTGGGCCGTTGGTGGCCTGTTCCCCGTCACAGGACCCGTTGTCGAAATATCAACAAGCCTCGACATTCAAAACTCTTGGCACTATTGTATTCCTCTATTACGATTCTGAAATTACTAACCAAACTATTTGTACATGCAGGCTCTAATTATTCAGGCCTGTATAATGTGAGACGTGACCCTTCATCTGTGCAGAAGACAGAAACAATTACCAGAACACTTCTGCATCCCGGGACTGCAGCTGTAACGCAGTTAGCAGCGGTTGAATTTAGCGAAGACGAGAAACAGAGACCTCCCACAGGTGGCTGAAAGTAAATATTTTAACATCATATTGGAGGCACTCGCTTAGCTTGTTTTTCAAAGTGATTTTTCTGGGCTTCCTCTGCAGTTATTAATGGCTACTTGTGCCACTGCCAATGGTCCGGTTTGAGGAAAACCAACTGCATCCTCTGCACCTTTTCTTTACCCGACCGTGAAAAGAAACTGAGAGCAAATGTGGGAAAATGTGAAGACCGAGGCCTCTTCCTCTGTCAGGTGTGGACATGCCTTATCTAACACCACAGGAAAGCGCAGATCTGTTTGAACTTCCTGTAAGGTTGCCATGGCTGCGCTTTTTAAGTATCCCCCAGCATTTGATTTATTTTGCACATTGCGCAAATTGAAAACGGATCCAACAATGATCCTTGTCATAAGGGAGGCTGCAGTCTTTGTCAGGACATTACTCATGCTCTGTTCTCCGACCGACATCAATTTCTGCAATTTATCTGCTGCGGCCATAAGAAAGCCATAGGTCTTGTGGAGGTTTTAGACTGAAAGGGTCAAAGTTCACAAAATGTGTTCCAGTATCAAAGGCGCTGGGAGTATCGGGAGGAATCAGAAGTGTGTTTATCCCATCCATCTCTTTGTGAACTGAAAACAGGACATCACAGGAGACGACTCAATCTTAATGTTTGTGTTGGCTTTCCTCGAAGAGCGCGGTGGGTTTCGGGGTGTGTCTTGAAATGATTTTCGACAGAGCGGCTCTTTCCACCTGTTAACTGCGCACCATCTATCAGGTGTATGTGTGGTGGGGGAGGCAGGTGCTCGGGAGCGCTTTTAATGTTGGACTGTCAGGGAGGCCTGGATCTCCCCCAGCCAGCTGTAAATCCACAAGTGTGGCGAGTTTGAGGATTTTACTATTAACCTATCTCAGGTCGGTTTTCCCCCCGTGCTTTGCTTTATGGAGATGTCAGGCAGAAGCTGGGGGAGAAGGCACTGGGTCCCAGGGAAAGAATTCATCTTCTAAATAAACCAAATCCAAGAGTTAATCGCTAATGCTTTTCACACACTTAGGGAGTGAGAATGAGGCTTCGGTCAATGAAGTGCTAAGAAACAACTTCTTTCTTAAAGGACAGCTAAGTTAAGACGGCCTTCTTTTAGCTGTACTGCTGTACTTTATTAAAAGGATTCATGTGTGTTTGTTTCACATTTAATGTAAGTGGTTGCTAAGGCATTCTGAGTAACTGTCAAAACAAGCCATTCATTTGTGAGACACTCGTTGCTGTTTATAAAAATACATGTTATAAACATGCTATAAAATTTATTTCATACAAGCAATCAGTTCAACTTAACCTGAATATACAATATGCATAGTAAGTTTTGGTCAGTAACAGATAGCATTCTGTCGCTTGCTCA